AAGTGACTGGTCTCTTGGAACTACAAGCAACCTGAATGTGGTGCGATTTTTGGTGTGAGTGACCATTTATCACTAAGTCAAGTTTGCGTGGGCGGCAAGATAGACTGGAGAGTCTAAGGGGACTGTCTGTGAGTCCATGGTAAGACTCTTATAGTGATCCAGGAGTTCACATTTGTTACCGGCTTGGTGAAATCTAATTATCGACCACACCACCAGTTTTGGGTGTCTGCCCTGTTTGTGGTAGTCTGCCCTGAGGTAGGAACTCACAGCTGTAAGCCACTCCAGACAGTATCCGTACACCATTTTAATCACACTGCCATTACCTTTTACTCTGCCTGCAGCCCAGCATCACCTGCACCTCTCTTCACCTTAGGGTGACCAGATACCCTGATTTTATAGGGACAGTCCTGATATTTCAGGGCTTTGTCTTATATATGCGCCTTTTACCCCCCCACACACCTCCTGTCCCAATTTTCCACACTTGCTATCTGGTCACCCTACTTCACCTGTATCTGTTGAAGTTACAGCATCAAACACCTTAGTCAAGTATTTCAAAAATGGAAACTTGTAGTTAGGCTCCTAGGTTTATATTTAGGTATCTGCCTGACTCTTCAAAAGTGTGACTCAGCCAGCAGCACCTAGTGAGGTCACCAAATATCTCCCACTGAGAATAAGGGGAGCTGTTGGGTGAAAGTTGGGTATGTGTCTAAAAATGGATTCAGGAGTTAGCTTTAAGGAATTATTTCTGGAAATAACTTGGCCTGGGCTTCAAACACTAGTACTCAGCCTCCTGTTTGTACTATAATAATACATATTATGGCAGGCATCACCAGGTGGTGCTGTTACAGTCTTCCGAGTCTTTTATTAGCATACAAGCAAATGTTCAGTCTTGGGAAGATAAGCTGTGTGGTGGCGTAAATTTTACAGGCAAGTCTCATCTTACCTTTGCGCAGTTGGCAAAAACAAAACAAACAAAAAAAGAGAGAAAAATAACAATTTAAATACTGTACCTTTAGTGCGGGCGATTCCGCCCACCATTACACTCAATGTAATGTTGAGTATATGCAATTTTCGCTTTACGTGCTGACAGCGGAACGTAACCCCAGCGTAAGATGATACTCGCCTGTATTATGCAAGGTGAGTGGGATAGTGGGCTCTCTGCCTCAGCCTGAGTTAATTCTTGGGGCAGAGTTGGTTCCTGGGACTGGGCTAAAACTTCAAAAACAGACTCCAACAAGAGACTGCTGAGCTGAAATGAATATGCAAACTACACGCAATCATCTCCGGTTTGAAAAAGGACTGGGAATGGGGGATGTTTTGCATGCATTGAATCT